TTTTTTTTTTAATTTCAGCCTTGTGGTGACCTCAAAAAGTCTCCAAAAAATGCCACAAATGTTTAATTTTCAAATGTTTTAGCATTAAACTTTCTTTTTTTTAAATTGATATAATGTAGTGTTTTAGACATTATCAAAGCATAATAAAGTATAGATTAATAGAATCCCTTGCACAATTTAAGGGTTTTACCCTCTTGAAGTTTATTTTTGATACTGCACACACTCAACATCATGACAGACTGCTTAAATGGAACATTCAAAAGTAGCCAGTCACCTTATGAATAGTTCAGATAATTAAAACTCATCTCTTTTAATAATATAGGACTTATCATTGAACTTGTATGCATGATGTACTCGTGGGCTGGGTAGATCATTTGCTGCTATTATAATGTAGCCTTGGGGTAAGTTGGGCTCTTCGATTTCAAAACCATTTATGTATCGAGAATAAGAAATCATATCCACCTTCTGCAGCACGAAAAAGACTCCAAGGTTCTCCACATACCAAAGTTTAATAAGCCTTCCAAATTCTGGATTCTGAAAGTCTTTGCTTATCAGTAAAAAGGTGTTTGCTCCAGGCTTATAAAGAGTGCCATAAACTCTCACAGAATCAACCAAAAATATTTCAGCAATCCGAATATTGCACTGCCCATGGATATCATAAAAGTTTTGTATGCATTGCCAAGCATAAGCAGTAGAATCATGATCTCTGATAGGTTTTATTGTTCCCATATCACAGTCATTSCTGAAAAGTGGGCAAGGATCAGTTTCATCATCCAGTGTTAAGCTGTCAGCCAGTTCCATGCATTGATGTCTTGTTGATAATGAATGTGGGAGATTCCTGAAATTTTTTGTGATTCTTGCAATATCTTTGAAATATGAGTGTTTTGCCTCAAATCRCATGCACCACGACCTTATTAGAGGACCAAACTTCAATATCATAGAAGGAAGATGAACTAGATAATGCATTTTAGGAGTTATTCTTGCATCATATAGATCCTTAAAGGTTTGAAGATATTTTTTGATGGCAGACTTCAAGTATACCACACTCTGAGTAGTTATTGATGATGAAAAACATATCACCACAATCTCTATCAAAGACATGTAGCAATCCCAGTGAACAGAATCTTGAATGTCAATATGCTTTGCCATAATGAATGGAAGTATAAATGCCAAGAGATACATTTGGCTAGCACTCTGACCTAAGTTTGTGCTTGCTTTAATATCAATGTCAGAATCTTTCACATGGACTGGTCTATCTTGTTTATGTGAATATCCTAAAGGAAAAAGTYTTATTTCCTTGTTTAGCAGATCAAGTGTTATTTTATCAGTTTCTGAATCAGATATGAAGTACTTTAACATATGCTTCATATGGTAAGCTAAAATCCCTTCTAAAAAAATATGCATTAAGTCTTGTRGTAATTGTTGGCAGACATCGAAGTATGGGGCTTCCATTAATTTTGCTTTGGTATTGATTCCATAGTATTTGCTGTAATAGGAAGCAAGATATTTTGAAGGTGCATTTTCCATTCTTTTAACTTGTCTCTCATGCTCATCCTTGCAGCGCAGATCAAAATTTTCTTCAAGAAAAAATTCTTGTATTTGTTCAAATGTTGCCATACAATGACGGCATTTTCTTCGTGCCCCACCAACACTTTCTTTAAAACCACCTGCAGCCTGACTAGCTGGTGTATCAGCCAGTGTTGCAAGTAAGCCTCCTCTAAGATGTATAACTCCACCATCAACTTCAAATGGATAACCTTCATCAATGCCCAAGGAACGTAGATCTTCTACAAATGGCTGAAGGATTATATTCAAGCCATACTTTTTAATGTGCTCTTTTTTACAAATTGAAAAAAGGTGAATTGATTTTAATTTGGAACGATACTGTGGAGGTAGATTGGCTAGTTGGTAGTACAAGAAACCAAGCTGATGAATTCTATTATTCATAGGATTTACCACGTTGACATCATCATAATACATCAGTATTTGCAGAGCTTGATCATCAGAACCAAACATTGGATGTTCAGATATAAATGTTCCATTACAAAAATCTCTGAGTTCTTCAGGGACATTTGATTTTTCTGGGCCTCTTAGAATAAATTCAAGATACGAAGGAGAGCGAATTTGAACTTGAAGTGTGTCCAGTATAGGGATATAGTAGAAGGTATCTTCAATTTCAAGTATTTGTTTTTTAWTGTTTCTTTTTACAATCTTTCTTGTCTTGCCAAGTATTTTCTTTTCAGGGCCCTTGATGACAAAAACAAAATATAAAATAAATGTAAAAACAGGGTACTATCTCTTTTGCATCAGTACTAGTTATTGACATTATGCCTGGTCACATTACCTGCACTGTGTTTTCACTGCTACATGCTGATTGAGACAACACTGGTCATGATACTGCCATCATAAGTAAAGGTAACAATTTATTTTACTGTTGCTTCAATCTGAATGCAGCAAAATAAAGTGTGCTAAGATAACTCACAATGTTACAAGTTAGAATATGAATTATTTATAGGCAAGTCTGTACATACCACATATTGTGAATGGCTTTGAASATATTTTGACTGCRTCCAGGTAGTAAGAAGCTGATCAAAAGGATCACATACTTCATCAAAAGCATCAGATATTCCTGGAATATCCTCCACTTCCAAACCTGCCTCCTCTATGGAACACTCTATTTTTCTTTTCAGTTGATTGAAAGCAACATGAAACAATTTAGATGTTGATGTAACAATATTTTGCATAGCTTTATTGGTTAGTTTGTTGCCTTCCTTGATTTTTATCAAGTACTTTGCTGTTAAATCTTGTAGGTTCATTGTCTGATGTCCCAAATTTTCATCTTCAATTCCATTTCTCGAGTCTTCACAAGAACCAGATGATAATTCGAAGTCTGAAGGTTCTTGGGGAATTGAGTAATCATCCTGTCCAGTAGCATTACCTTAAATTAGAAGTGGATAATTAAGAAAACATAACATTAAATTATATTTAATTYAGGGACTTTAGCAGGGGTTGGAAATTTTGAATTGGGGGTTGGAAATAAGGACTGACCTACCAGAGCAATGGGAGTGAAATTTCCTAACCCTCCCCTTGTGCTTGGACAATACCGGTAATATCATGACYACTGGTATAATTTTCCATGACCCCCTTTCCCCCCCATTTTAAAACCCATGTTTTTCTTCCCTCCCTTTTCAGGTCTCAAAAAA